GGCCGCCTCGTGCCCCTGCTCTCCCCAGGGCTTCGCTCCGGGCCGACAAACCAAAGGGGAGACGTGTCGCCGCAGGGACCTGGCCGACGCTCGCGGCCGCTCGCACTCACGAACCCACCGCGCTCACGTCCGCTCCCAGCCGCGCGCGGCTCTCGCCGCCTTTCAAAGCGCTCCGACCTCCGGCCCGGGCTGGAGAGGCGCTGCTTCGAAGAGAGCCTTCCCGGGAACCATTTGTGGCCCACGTGGTCAGGGTCTGCGGGGGCTGGGCGCGCCGTCCTGCCCGTCGCCGGCGTCCCGGGTCCGGAGCCGCGCACCTGCCGCAGGCCCGGAGGCCTCAGCCCGCAGGCCGCGCTGCGCGCACCGGCCCCAGCCGCCTTAGGACCTCTCTCTCGGGCCTACGGGCTTGCCAGAACCGGGAGGGAACAGCGTGCGGCTCGTGCGGCCCGAAGCTCCACGGGACCCCCCTCCCCTCCGCCCCACGCAGGCTGCCCTGCCGACCTGCCCGCTCTTTGCCGGGTCCGATTTGCTAGCTTCAGTCCATCGGGGAAGCTGCCCGTGACCTCCCCTCTCCACGCAAGGCATTCCTGCCAGTCTACGTTCAATTGTATTTTCTCTGTTCCGTGATCCCTTTTTCTTCTCTTTCAATGCCCCTTATTATGACATTGTGACATATTACTTGCTGCAAGGACTTTAATTAAGGGGCAGTCTGCTCTCCCCTCCCTACCCCACTGTGCCCCCAGAAGAAATAACCGTTCTGTTCAGTAGTTCTGCTCGGGGCTCCACTTTTAGCAGGTTCTGCGTGAATATTGCGTGGCCGCAGAATGAGTGATGGACAGAGATTGCAATTCCATGCTTTATGAAAGCGACTTCTCCCAACAGCCGGTGGCCACGCACTGAAGCCTGGTTTTGTTGTGTGTGGACGATGGATGCCGGGGTTAGGGCCGCGGGTGGGCAAAGATCCACAGAAAATGCAAGCGAAGGAGTTCAGAAGCACGTCAACAGCTGTCTACATAACGCTTCTCAGCAGAGCCAAAATGCTGTGCTTAATTTTCTGAGAGTTTGTCTCTTTTCTTCTAGGTTGCACAGCGCCATCCATCCTAACACTGGCAGGTTTGCTGAAGAATTACCTGCTCCTCAGATGAAGTTTTTGATCCCAGAAGGGAAGTAGGGATTTTTCTGGTCTCCAGGACAGGAGCTCCGCTCAGCCAAAGGAAAGGGAATGTGGACTGCTGCCTGCTCAGGCCTGCTGGAGGCGGCCCTCTTCTTCCTCTCCTTCCCTCAGGGGCTTCCTCTAAATCCCCTGATTTAGAAAGCTGCTGTGGACACTCGTGCCCTTCGGCATTCTCCGCTGGCCTGTTTTTTGGCAATTGGATTGATCTGCATGTGTCTCTCTCCGAGGAGAAGGGAAAGCCAATCCTGTGTGTCCTGGTCCTCCATGTGGCAAAGCCCGGGAGGACAGCCTCTTTTCTTGTGCTTTTTATACTTAAAGGCCTTTCTGAGGATCTTCCCTGACCCGTCACCGTGCTGATCGTGCGGATAAGCCAGGCTGGCCTAGTCTAACCAACTAGCTCTACATTCACCAACGCCAGGCACTTACCTCCTCCTGGCATTCTTGTATTTTCTATAAGAAATAAATTTCAGGGGGCGCCTGGGTGGCTCAGTCAGTTAAGCGTCTGCCTTCGGCTCAGGTCATGATCCCAGGATCCTGGGATCAAGTCCTGCAGCCAGCTCTCGCTGTGTCTCTCTCTGTCAAATAAATAAATAAAATCTTAAAAAAAAAGAGAGAAGAAATAAATTTCAGAACCTCTCTCCCACGCAAGGGCATAATAGTTCTAGCAACTCTTCCCTCTCTCCTATATTATTAAAAAACAAATCTCTAGGGGATCTTTCCTATCAGGATTCAGAGATGCTTTTATTTCCTTCATCTGGAAGACGTGTTCCCTTGCTCCCCGAATACCCTTTGAGCGACTGACGTCACTGTCTTTCCAGTTTCTGAAAGTGTCATCACACTGTCTTCTTTCCTTCATCGCATTGCTTTTAGGGAATGGATTTCAGCCTGCGTTTCCCCAAACTCTCCACTTACACGTTCACATTTCACTAATGGGTAGTTGATTGTCCTCATCGTGCTTGACTTCCGGGCAGCGCCTGACACGGGTGGCCGCTCCCTCCTCTGGAAATATTTCTTCGTTTGGACCCCGCACCCTGGACTTTTGTCCCTTTTCCTTAGCCCCCAGTCCTGTTTTATGCACCGATTCATGCTTCCATCCTCAAGTCCTCAAGGCTCGGTCTTGTCCTCCACCTTCTCTCAGTACCTTGGGGATTAGATCTGGTTGTACCCACACTCTGGCATTTCAGCCAAGACCTCTACCCCCAACTCCAAACGTGATATTCAGCCTCTTGGTTGGTACCTCCCCTGGATGTCTGATAGACGTTTCACATTTAGTATGTCTGGAGCTGAATTCTTGATCTTTTCTGCGAACTTAAACTTCCTACTTCTCTCCACTTGGTGCAAACATTGGATGGGTGGTAAGAGATGAAGAGTAGATGACTGCACACTTGGTGAGACACTGAAATCAAGCGCCCCTGCACCGTCATACCTGATCCCCTGGGGAAGAGAGGCAGCTCACCATGATTTCTAGCTGCTTCTGGCAACACTGGTGGGTTAGTTCTTGAGCGTAGAGCGGGGGGAAATGACCACTGTAACACAGTACTCCTTCTCCCCAGGAGAGGGACGGGACAACTCTAATATTATCTCTTTATGTAAACTGATCTACTGAAAGGACATTTTGGAGACTGACAGTATGTTCAGGGGGCCTTCTGATTTATTTAGCGGTGGGGCCAGACCACATCAGACAGGCCGATCCCTGACAGTGCTTTGTAGTTCTGGTCTGATAATTTTATTAATTTGTAAACTTTTCAAGCAAACAAAGTAGGAGATGCAATGATTTCCCCACAAAAATATCAGTGAGTTTAGCAATTCTGCCATGAATAGAAGGCTAGCTTTTGATAGGTCAAACAATATTCATTTGCACGAGCAATTTTACCCTCAGAGTTCTTTTGATACTTTCCTTCATATATTCCAAGGAAGACTTGGGATCTTAAATTCATATACCAACAGCCAGTTGTGGATCTAGATATCAGTCAGGCATTCTTGTAAATAATCAAAACTCCTATCAGGTGCTTAGAATAGCACACCTAGGATTGAGATTCCCTGGTAAGTGAAGCCATGTCAACAAAGTCAGCCTGGTATAAAGTTATATTCTTTTGTCCTTAGTCAAGCATCCTCATTATCCATAACCACATGTATTTCTGAGATTTTGTCATTATTAATTATCTGAATCATGCAGTTACTTTGGGGTATAAATATTTGATTTGATATTAAATATTAGATTTGACCTTACAATTGTTCCCTATCCCCAATGCATTACAACAGCTCCATCTAGTGATAGGTATGACGATGAGGGGGTAAAGAATGGAACATGGGGAAAAGTATGTATTGTGATCCCCATTTTCAGTAAACATTACTTGAATAATTAAATCTAGTTTTATTCTTTCTCATTTGGTATTTGTTAATGCAAATCTGATAGTGATACTCCTGCTAAAATCTTCCAACATCTTCTTTTGAACATTCTCACCCAAGTTTTGCACACTTTAGACCAAAGTATGTAAGACCAGGTAGTTAAGAGAAGGCAGTTATGTGTGGGCTGTGTGTTGGGGTAGATAATATCCTGATTTACAGATTTATCTCTTACAAATTGAGAATCTGACTGAAGAAGTAACACTGTACTTTGTTGTCTTCCTCAGTTGGAGATGGTATGACAAATACCACAGGCTGAGTGGCTTAAACTGATAAGAACAGATACTACACTTGATCTTAGCCAAAAGGCCCAGAAGCGGATAGGCTGGGTGGCTTAACAAATGTTAGACAGTTAGTGAGGCTCTAACAGGATGCCCGGAGGCCAGCAAGGAGGAGGCCGTGGGCAGCTGTGGGGAAGGTCAGAGGCCTGTCCCGGCAGCGTCCACGAGAGGCCGGATCCCACCAGACAGGCCCAAGATGGTGGCGCCACGACAGGAAAGCCCTGGGCAAGTGAGGAAGAAAAGGCGGGAAACCCTGCTTTCAGCCCCAAGTAATAAATATTCTGCCCCCTAGTTAACAACGGTCAATAAAAGATAGAAACCCAACTCCTGGGGCACACAGCTCTCTCTTTCCCTCTTGAGCTGCCTGCTCTCATATCTTGAGAGTGTTACTTTTGCTTCAATAAACTTTCCTGCCTCTGTCACGTGTCCCCTGTGTACATGTCTGTCCTTGAATTCCTTCTCAGGACAAGCCCAAGAGTTCTCTGGACTCCTTTGGGTCTGGCTGGGTCGACGTCCTAGGGCCCAGGATGTCCCCAGTTCACCCAGCGATGCAGTTATTTTTCACTGTTCTGGAGTCTAGGAAGTACAAGATCAAGGTGCCAACAGACTCAGAGTCTGCTCAGGACCTGTTTCCTGGCTTGTAGGGGTTGCCATCTCCCTGCGTGCTCACGTAATTTGTTTGTAGGCTGTGGGGAGGGAGGTGTGCTGGTCTCTTCCTCTTCTTGTAAGAGCGCTAATCTCAAATCTCATCATGGGGATTCTACCCTTAAACCTCTCCTTAAAGGCTCACTCTCCTCTCGTTTGGGCCTCAACTATTCATCTCGAAGCTTTCACCTAATGGGGCAAAGCTGGATTCTTTCCCAGTAGCAGATGTGTGAAGTGATTTGCTGGATCTGGAGGAAGGCGAGCAGGCCAGTGGAAGATCCTCGCGTAGTCCTTATAATTGTTTTATGTCACCTTCCATTTGCAAGGATGGAAGCATCTAAGGCTCTTACAGGAGTATATAATGTTACTAAAGATTTTCAGAAAGTCTGTCGGTTTTCTCATTATTTCTCTAAAAAGAAGACACATCCCTTTTGAATTCCCTGATGAAAGTAGTTAATACTAGCTATATATGCTAAAAAGTTTTTCAAATACCATCATTGACATAACGTTGATCTTTATATTCATGTTAATGTATGTCAGAGACTTAAATATGTGGTGTCCAGAGGGCGCCCCCTCCGCCCCCCCACGACGACTTGCTGCCCTGCTGCAGAGTGACTGTGGTCCGAAGCTGGGCAGCCACTGAGCTCCCCCCAGGGTTTGCTTTACCCCACTCAAGGTCACACCCTTGTCCAGGGCAGCCCACAGCCCGGGTGGAGCAAAGTAGGGCTAGAAACACTCGTCCAGGGGGATTTTCGCCCAGCCTGGGGAATCGCTGGCAGGCTACCCCGGAGTCAGAGCGCCCACGTTCTGTCTGACATTCTCCTCTGCCCCATCCTCGCTCCTCTTCCTCCTTTCACAGCTCTTGGTCCCTAATCACACCTTGTACCCCAAACTCCACCTTGGCATCTGCTCCCAGAGAACCTGACCTGCATGGCTATGTCACCATAATCTTTTCCCCGGGTCTCTTGCCTTTTATGCTTGTTTTAGTCAATAGGGTTTCCGCACGCAAAGACTAGGAGTAGTGTAGGGGCCCAGGGCAGGCCGCCCCAAAGTGTACCACAGTGCATAGTGATTATTTTGAAAGGAAACTACTCGGGAAACAGCAGGTGCAAGGATATCACACGGTCCTTTGGCCCCTGAAAGCAGGAAACACATCTCCCCTATTCAAGGTACCTTCCCAGGGCTAAGAAGTAAGACATCCTTACCACCAGAGATAGGAAATTTAGAGCCAAGCAGGCTGTAGAAACACACCTTGTTACTTCTTTACTAATCTACTACCTTAGCCCAACTTTTACTTAGAATTCCTAACTAATTCAGGCTCCCAAACATCCGTTTTCTTTATCCTGTCAAATCCTCACAACTTTTTTTGTCTTTGTCTAAAATGTATAAAAACTGCCTGCTTTGATCATTCTTTCAGGTCTGTTTCATTACTGGGCCACCCCAGGCACATAATAAAACTTTTTTTTTTTTTCCTCCTGTTAATCTGTCTCATGTCAATTTAATTGTTAGAAGAAACTTGGACAGAGGAAAATTTCTTCCTTCCATTCAGTAGCAAAAAAATCTGTATGTATTGAATTACAAACTGTGTGCTCCTAAATCTTTGTGAACCACATGATAAAGTTAATACTACTTTTATAGTGTCTTTTTTTTTAAAGGGGGTTGGAGTCCATAAATTTTCACATCTGATTGGCATTATCAAATTTATTATCTCGGAGATTACGATTGCTATTGCTTCTGATTACTCATACACATTAATTCACTCACCCTAAAAAGTCCTATATTGTGCTCCCCACCACCTGCTTTTCCATCATACCCTTAAGGGCCTGTTGGCTGTTCCCAACAAAGGCCACATGTTTTCTGTCTTAGGCCTTTGCATTTTCAGTTCCCTCTACTTGGAATTCTCCTCCCCTAATGTCTACCTTGCTCATCTTCTTTTGATTTATGTAGGCCTCTGATCAGGTAATACCTTTAAAGAAATTATCTACACTTACCCTTTATCTAAAGTAGGAGTCCCTGTTATGCTCTATAGCTTCTCTATTTTCTTCATAGGATATTTATCACCTAACCTATTGTATGTTTATGTCTCCGCCGCCTAGAAGTCATTTCAATGGAGGCAGATATCTAGGTTGCATCCATTGTTGTGTCCTGAGCTACTGTAAGAGTGAATTAAGTAGATACATGTGCTCCAAAGAAATAGGACCAAGGATTTACCAGTATGGATTCAGTAAGTTCTGTGTCTCTTTAATCAATAAATCAGACTGTAACTCCCTTCAGAATGAAATCCTGAAGAAAATGGAAATGACCCCTAAGAATTCCATCACCTGGTGAAAATTATGTCTAGTTAGGCCACTTAAGTCAGGTCGTCCTTTTCCAGGACTCTTCTACTATACTCAGGTCGCTAAATTTGTCCTGGGACAATAGTCACTGCATTCTAGCTTTACTTTTGGCCGTTTACAACCGGTAATTGATAGGACCGTCATTAAAGTGGGCTCAGGGATTTGCCCATCTGGTTCCATCTGCAACTTTTGGACAAACTCTTCTGAGCCTGTTAGCCTCAGCCCTGACGATCTCCAAATTGCCCTTTCTGTAGATCAGACTACGTCTAAGATTACCAGTAGAGTTGCTCCTCCTTCTCCCAAGAAACAGCACCAAAAAAGTGGAAACGCGGATCATGTGTATCAGCCTTTTCTTTGAAACTATAGGTGGCTCTGAAAAGAGCCTTTGTTTTGCAAAGCCCCTAACCTTACTCTTCCTCACTTGGCCTTGTGGTGGCTCTCGGTCTTCTTGGGCAGCAGCACGGCCTGGATGTTGGGCAGGACGCCGCCCTGCGCGATGGTGACGCGGCCCAGCAGCTTGTTGAGCTCCTCGTCGTTGCGGATGGCCAGCTGCAGGTGGCGCGGGATGATGCGCGTCTTCTTGTTGTCGCGCGCCGCGTTGCCCGCCAGCTCCAGGATCTCGGCCGTCAGGTACTCCAGCACGGCAGCCAGGTAGACGGGCGCGCCGGCGCCGACCCGCTCGGCGTAGTTGCCCTTGCGGAGCAGGCGGTGCACGCGGCCCACCGGGAACTGCAGGCCGGCCCGCGACGAGCGGGACTTGGCCTTGGCGCGGGCCTTGCCGCCTTGCTTGCCGCGTCCGGACATCACAGACTCGGAATGGGAGTGCCAAGACAAGAACACTATTCGTCTGGCAAGACAGACCTAACAGTGAAGTAGGTAGAAACGTCGCTGCTTTTATAGGCATTTCCTGGGGAGTAAGTCCGGTTGTCTGATTGGCTAGTAACAAGACTCAGTCAAGTAGCCAATAGAAAAGCTCTATTTCCATACCTCATTTGCATAGTTCGGCCCATGGATGACTGCCTTGCTGCTTGTCTTCCAATGAACTAAGACGCTGTCTGCATCCTTCATTAGCATAAAAGCTCTATAAGTAGCAGAGATTCGCTTTCTACCTTCATTTCACTTCGTGTGTTCTGAGGCTTTAAAATGCCTGAACCCGCCAAGTCGGCTCCGGCCCCGAAGAAGGGCTCCAAGAAGGCGGTGACCAAGGCGCAGAAGAAGGACGGCAAGAAGCGCAAGCGCAGCCGCAAGGAGAGCTACTCGGTGTACGTGTACAAGGTGCTGAAGCAGGTGCACCCTGACACGGGCATCTCGTCCAAGGCCATGGGCATCATGAACTCGTTCGTCAACGACATCTTCGAGCGCATCGCGGGCGAGGCGTCCCGCCTGGCGCATTACAACAAGCGCTCGACCATCACGTCGCGGGAGATCCAGACGGCCGTGCGCCTGCTGCTGCCCGGGGAGCTGGCCAAGCACGCCGTGTCCGAGGGCACCAAGGCCGTCACCAAGTACACCAGCGCCAAGTGAACTTGAAAAGTAAGCGTGTTTAAACTTAACCCAAAGGCTCTTTTCAGAGCCACTAAGTTGTCGGTAATAGAGCTGCAAATGCGCGATCGGTTCAGGCAGTTACCCTGGGGCGGTTATGCGGCTTCCGTCGCACCGAGTAACGCGTGCTGTGGCCAGAAGGAACCCGACGCACTGCGGTGTCTGCCGTCTGTGTGCAGTAAACAGGGCCCTTAGCGGATGTTAACACAAGTGTGTGTTGTGTGAGCACAAAATGATTCCTGCCTTTGGCGCGAAAGTGGATCCTTTGGTTGTGTCCAAGAGTGGCTTCCTGTTTAAATCCTAACAGCCTGGGTCCTGTGGCCTCTCTCTGTTGCAGTTTATACATTAGTAAATTTGGCCCCCAGTGATCTCCCAAAGTCAGCCTTTTCGCTCAGCGGTTATCCCATGTCCTGGGCGGTTCCGCATGGAGGAAGGGGCACTACATTGGCAGAGCAATGGTCTCTAGCTTTAAAAAGTTGGCCTCTCCAGCCAGACAAAGGGGGGGGGGGCAGTCTGCAAGGCAAAGACAAACCTCCCGAGTAAGGAAATGGAATACTACGGCTCACAAAAAAGATAAGTTACTACTTTGTTATACATAGGACTAGAGAGATAGTAAGTGCTAGGTGGTATAATGGGGAAAAACAAGGGCACATAAGTAGGTTTGAGCAAATTGAAGTCTGTGCAACTGTTTGCCTGTTTGTAAAAGATTGTTCTGAACTTTGTGATTTCAGCTGCTAAATTCTGTGCTCTCCAGAGACTGAAATCTGAATAGAATGAGAGAATAAAAGTGACTTTCTCGGGCCCACAGTCAGACCTACTGTAGAAGAGATTGGAATAATTGGTCAGATTGGGATGGTCAGAGGCACATCTTGTACTTGTCCTGACACTTCCCTCAGTTCTCCACCCTAGGAAGGACCAGGACTGCAACCCACTCATTGTGATGGCTCCAGCTACCCAGAGAGTGGTTAAAAATATTACAAGTTTGGTTATAGAATATAACATTTGTGATTTGGTTATTTGATTTGGCCGTCAGTACCTTTTGCCAATTTAAAATGAGAATAATAAAACCTATCTCAGAAGATTATTACATGAGAGAACCCAAGGAAGGCATTTAGCACAAATTTGAATAAACTATTATAGGCATGGTTTCTTCTCTTTCACTCTACCTTTGTCTTATAATGCCTTGCAAATTTTAGGCTTTCGGTTAATCAATCATTGCTTATTAAGAGAATAGGAAGATCAGTCTAAAAGACTGACTCTCCAAGCCAAATAATGAGATCAGCAGCCTAAATTTTTTTGTCTACTTATGCCTGCAGTTCTTTGGGGGAATTAAAGGAGAGGGGAAATAATTACTATATGAACAGGCAGCATTTGCAAAAACTACTAAAAATATAAACCCAACATTATGACGTGACTCCAAAGTAGCCAAAAAGCTTGTAAGAAACTAAGCAACTTTTTTATAATCAGAGAAATGCAATTTAAATACATGAGATTTCGTTCAGCAAATGCTGACCAGCAAAAAATTTTAGTCTGCCATTAGTGAAATGTTGAAGAGGAACTCGCAGAGTACTTGTGGAATATGGGGGTGTAAACTAAAAATACAACCTTGGAAAGCAAGTTGCTCATTTCATGTTGAATATGCAGACCCCATTATCAAGCAATTCCACTCCTAGATCTGCAACCAGAGAAAGCATACGTCTGTGGACAATGCCCATAGCACTGCTATTTGTAATGGGGGAAATACAGCAATTTACATTGCAGCAGAGAAACGAATGTATTTTATCTATGTGTTCCACACTGTAGAGAAAACTACTAACTAGAGCTCTCTGCCACTCCTCTTTCCAGGATCCTGGTGAGTGGTTCCTGTTCCTTTTTGTTTATACCCCTCGCCCCGGCATTAAGGAACATATTCGAAGGAACCCAGGTTAGCGTTAGGCCTGGTCCCTCAGATCTAAGGCCTCCAGATCCCATGCGGTCCCCACCCCGCGGCGAAAAGCGGTTGGTCAGCAGAGGCCCCGCCCGGGTCACTCGGTACCATTCCCTCCCCGTCGGCGCCCCGCGCAGAACCCACCTCGGAAGCGGAACCAAAAACTTACGCAACGGCTCTACGCGGAGCTGTTCGTAGACCAGCACTAAAGCTCTTTCAGGGAAAACGTGGGGGCCCTAAAAAGGGCCTTTTTAGCAAGTGACAGGGATCCAGACCACTTGTCTTCAGCCCCCGAAGCCGTAGAGGGTGCGGCCCTGGCGCTTGAGCGCGTAGACCACGTCCATGGCCGTGACCGTCTTGCGCTTGGCGTGCTCCGTGTAGGTGACGGCGTCCCGGATCACGTTCTCCAGGAACACCTTGAGCACCCCGCGGGTCTCCTCGTAGATGAGGCCGGAGATGCGCTTGACGCCGCCGCGCCGGGCCAGCCGCCGGATGGCGGGCTTGGTGATGCCCTGGATGTTGTCGCGCAGCACCTTGCGGTGGCGCTTGGCGCCGCCCTTGCCCAGGCCCTTCCCGCCCTTGCCGCGGCCGGACATCTCCGGGAAGCCGGGGAAAGCAGAGAAGCGCAGCCCGGGCGCGCCGCTCCTTTTTATAGGTAACCTCTGCGGACCGGAGTGAAAACCGGCAGAGCTGTGGCGGGACGTCCCTCTGGGTTGGAGGAGGGGATCTGGAGCGGAACCGGCCGCTGCGGGGGCTCCCTTTTGTCCTCCGAGCGCTTTCTAGCCTCAAGACCTAAGGCTATTTTTTTCTCCTTTTCTTTCGTGTTTCCCCTCCCATCCTCGTGAAACAACGCAACTTTAACACTGTAGAGGATACATTTAAAAAAGCACAGAGAATAAACTGTGCTGTTTTTATCTGCACATATATGCATGCATTTTCTTTTTCTAACAGTATTTGCATAGACTACATACCATTTTGTAAAGGCTTTCTCCTTGTTATACGGGGGGAGGGGGGATATGCTCCAAACACTAACTTCCTAGAAGTAGAACAAGATGTGCTAATAAAATAGAGAATTTTAAGATCTTCCAGGTATATGGCTAAATTCTCTTCCACCACCAAAGGGGTACCAGTTTTCATTTTAAACAGTGTTTTCCAATACTAACTGACTTTAATAGATCAAAATAAACTTTCGAATCAAAGTATTTTCCATGTATCTTTCACAGCAGTTCCTATTATACCTTACTCAAAATGAGTAGAACCAGTTAAAAAAAAATTTAGCTATAATAATCCAGACTTGGTTTCTTGTATAGAGAATTAACTTTTAAAAATGGTAACGGGCTGGCTAATCAGTATAACATATTATATATTTTCTCCACTGATTTGAGGAAATTAATTGTTCATATACTGAATGGTTCACTTAAAATTATTTCTTGAATTTTCACTGTTATGCAGATGAGTCTATTTGTACTGGTGAAGTATTATAATTATTTGTAACATTGAAAAATATCTTAGTATTTGGCTATACATTTATTATGGTAAATTTGTTAGCTTTGAAATATTGTGTCTTCCTAACCTGAAAAGTACTGAATCTCTCCATCAACCTAGGTCTTTAAGTGTATCTCAGTCGTGGTTTTTTTCTAGATAAAATATAATTAAAGACATTTTTTAAACTTTCGTTGATTACAAGAGTAATTAATTTGTCATTAATGAACAAGTATAAAATTCAAATGCAGGGAAAAGAATTCGGTCTTTCTAAGAAAATCTTTATTAAAAGAATATACTTAATACATACTTAGTTAAAAAATATGTATATATAGACAATTATACTATTGCTTAAATTCTGAGAAAATTTAATCACTCTTTTCAGCATTAGCTTGTAATCCCCTTGTTATCCAATTATTTTCTTGCTATCCTTTTTTCAGTGAGTTACTTTTTTAGCAATGTTACATTACAGTATTTCCAAAGTATTCCATTTAAATTTCATAAAATATATAAAAATAGTTTTTAAATGTCATTAAAATATTGAGAATTTTTTCTGCATTTATGTTGCAATAGAAGAAAACTCGCCAAACACTTGAAGAAACAAAACATTCAGACAGTGGGAGGTGAATTCAGTATATTTTAGAGAGGGGGGGATAGCATAGGTTAGTTTAAGGGCAAATACAAATAGAAAATAAGAGACTTACTTCTCCCTGAAGGTCCCTCTATTTTCCTTTTTCTCTTTCAGAATTTCTTTCTCTGTCCTTCCCAAATGTAGGTAAATCCTTTTGACTGCTAAATAAGTCTTTGGCCAGCCTCTTAACTTAGGAACTTTCCTCAAGGATCTTTGAGTCCTTTATTTTGAAGTGTAATCATCAAGAACAACAGCACTCTATCTGCCAGTGTCTTGAAAGGGAAATTTTACTTCAGCTGGTATCTGAGTCCACATTGCAAATCCTACCTAATGTAAAGGGTGGTATCCACTTAGGTCTCAAAAAGTGAGATTTCTTTCTGTCTTTGCCATTTCTTTAGAAGATTGCCAGTGATGAGCATAATAGTCTGGCTTTATGCTTATTGAAGAATAACATTGTTTTTTTTTCTTCCTTATTATCTCCCCAACATTAGTTCATCGGAATACCTTTTACAGACCCTACCTTCTCTACTTTAAAAATCAGTAAAATTTCCATCAACCAGTAGCCTCCCTCTTTATCTGATTTCATGGATATTTGCATAGCCACTAGTCATGATAAAAGGTAGCAATGGATGGATGGCTGAAAAGTTGGTCAGGCTCTTTATAGTTTCTGAAATTGATAGCCAAAGGTATTTATTTTTCTATAAACCTACAGTATATTATTTTATAAAAGTACAAAGCTATTTGGGCTGTTTCCCAATACTAACTGACTTTAATAGATCAAAATAAACTTTTGAATCAAGGTATTTTCCATGTATCTTTCACAGTTAAGGGTAGCTGAATATGCCACCCAAACTATGCCTCTTTGTCATAAGGATCATTTTGAGCTGATTATTTTTGAGAAATGGCATATACAGGAGTATGTCTGAAAATAGAAGTTACTTTTTAGTAAGAGACATTTACATTTATAAAGGAAATTGCCATTTCTAAGAACCAGGAAGGCAGACTCTAAATTACAGGAGAATTTTAATGGAGAAGACACTTACTTTAATGTGTATATCAAAACTTACCCTTGTTTATCTCGCTTTTCCTGGTATTGTCTCATAACTGTCCCCCCCACCCCCACCCCAACACATACCCCTTTCTTTTGTCTTTAGCTGAAGATGGTATATGAGGGGGTAGCTTGGCCATCTTGGGGGGTTTATTCATTTTTCCTATCTCCCGTGTCTACAGGAGGTATACATGTTGATAAAATTTTGGTTGTTTTTCTCTTAATAATCTGTCTTTTATTATTGGAATCTCAGCCAAGAACTGAAACAGGTAGAGGGAAACTTCTTTCTTCCTCCGCAACACAGGACACCCCACAGCCGGCAGCAAGCTTTCTTAGTCACGCTTGTAAAGTACATCCCGTACCTACGGCTGCCTTTAGGCCAAGCCGCCACTGTCTCTCAGACTTCCACAGTGTAGGCTAATTCTGAACTTTGTGTTCACCACATACCTGTCTTAATGACCTTCCAAAGTTATGTAAGTTGGGTTTATGCCGTTCCCACGTTCAAAACTTAGAATGGTCATTTCGAAGGATCTGCAAAACTCAGCTTGGCACGGTCTGACCTCTGCCCGTGTCTGTGAACTCACTTTCTACCCTCGTTCCCTCTGCTCTTGATCTTTCTTACACATTCTTGATCGTAGACTTGATCTTTACCTTCCTTATGCTTTGTGATCCTGCTGAAACACTTCACGTATGTGATGGCTTCAGGCATTTGCATTATCTTCTTAGAAGACTTCTCCCAGCACACCTGTCAGAATGGCTATAACCAGTGACACAGGAAACAACAGGTGTTGGCGGGGATGCGGAGAAAGGGGAACCCTCCTCCACTGTGGGTGGGAATGCAAGCTGGTGCAGCCACTCTGGAAAACAGTGTGGAGGCTCCTCAAAAAGTTGAAAATAGAGCTACCCTACGACCCAGCAATTGCACTCCTGGGAATTTACCTGAAGGATACAAAAATACAGATTCAAAGGGGTACATGTACCCCGATGTTTACAGCAGCATTATCAACAATAGCCAAACGATGGAGAGCACCCAAATGTCCATCGACTGGTGGCTGGATAAAGAAGTTGGCATATATATACAGTGGAATATTACTCAGCCATCAAAAAGAATGAAATTGGAACTAGAGGGTTTTATGCTAAGCAAAATAACTCAATCAGAGAAAGACAATTACCATATGGTTTCACTCATATGTGGAATTTAAGAAACAAAACAGATGAACATACGGGGGAAGAAAGGAGAGAGGCAAACCATAAAACAGACTCTTAACTGTAAGGAACAAACAGGGTGTCTGGAGGTAGGCAGGGCGGATGGCCTAAATGGGTGATGGGTATTAAGGGGGGCACTTGTGATGATAAGCACTGGGTGTTGTATGTAAGTGATGAAACACTAAATTCTCCTCCTGATACTAATCTAATATTATACTCTATGTTAACTGGAACTTAAATAAAAACTTGAAACACAAACACAAACAAAAAAAGAATACTTTCCCCAAAAGAACAGCATAATTTACCACCAGGTATGATTCAAATCTCTGCTTAAATACCATCTAGTCAGAATTTTTCCAGGATCATTGTATTGGCTTGAATCATGTCCTCTTTCACCCCCAGTTTATGTCTGCCTGGTTTCCTCAGAATGTCACTTTATTTAGAAATAAGGTTTTTGCAGATGTAATTATTAAAGATCTTGAGATTTAGTGTGGGCCTTAAATCTAATGACTGGTGTCCTTAGAAGGGGAGGGGAGGGCACAGAGACATGCAGGGAAGAAGGCTCTGTGAAGCTCAAGGCAGACGTTGGCGATAAGCCGCCACAAGCCAGGGAACGCCAAGGATTCCTACCCACCACCAGGAGCCGGGCGCGAGGCATGGAATTTCCCCCTCAAAGCCTCTAGAAGGAACCAACCCTGGTAACTCCTTCATCTTGAGCTTCTGGCCTGCAGAACTGCGTAAGAATACATTTCTGTTACCTAAGCCATCCAGTTGGTGGTAAATTGTGACAAGCGGCGCAGGAAATGAGTATCGTCACCCAAAAGGGAAGACCCACAGCTGCACCTGTCTCTCCACAGCCCGTGAACCTGATAGCACTGATCACAACCTAGAAGTTAATATTTTTTTAAGTTTGTTTTGTTTCTTGCTGGAATATAAATGCTCTGAAGGCAAGCAAATGGTCTTGTTCACTTTGCATGTGCGATGTCTAGTTGGGTATGTCCTAGTACAGTTGTCAACGAATGACTCCTCTTAAATAGGTGATATTTTTCCATTTCACGGAGAATTTTATAATTTATTACCTTCTTCATTGAAACTCATGTTTCCAAATTGATGCTACCATAATTTTGAGTCTAAAATGTGTGTAATGTAAAATTAATGGCATGTTACAAGTATAGTTAGCATTTCTTTTTTGTGTGTTTCTTTTGTTAGAAAGAAAACCGCAGGCCCAAAATGGCTTCACTTAGGTTAAGGCCCCAGGTCAGCAAAGGAGGGCTTAATACCTAATCGAATTGCAGTTTCAACCTTCCCCAGAAATGTAAATTTTGACCAGTCAGAAATTTTCCGGTAAGCACCAAAGAGGTAATCTGTCTCAGGGACCTCCTTCCCCCGCAAAAGGAACATGAGGTAATCTGCATAATCAGACCCCCTGGCCTTTCCCCTAACAGGTGATCTGGCCTGAAGCAATCCTTTTTCTTTCGTTTATACTTTCTTGCCTCACCCTTCTTATAAAACATTCCATTTTATATACTTCCTCAGATGCTGCCCAATTCGTGAATCATTTAATGAAGTCAATTAGATCTTCAAATTTACTTGGTTGAATTTTGTTTTTTATTTTTTTATTTTTTTTTATTATTTGTTTAAATATTTTATTTATTTA